GAAAGAGGAAGGAAGGAAGGGAGGGAGGGAGGAAGAAAGGGAGGAAGAAAAGGAGAGAAGAAGAAAGGGAGGGAGGGAATTTTAAGCCACTAACATAAATTGACTATCTTTTTACTTTTTCCTTACTTAACCAAAATGGCAGTATAGTTATAATAGACTGTGTGGGCTGAATCTCAAGGTAAGTTTTATGTAGATGTGTATGCAGAGAATACAGTTGTGGTTGTGTATTGTACACCAAGCAAAGTCATACTCCTAGTTCTGCCCCATCATTAAATATCAGTGAAGCTGTCAGAAATGTCCTATTTTGCACATTTGTTTAATGGCATGTATTAAATCTGTTATTACTAAGCACCATGAATTTTAAAAATGGTTAAGGCAAAATACGTATATTTTGAGAGCACACAACTAGAGAAAGGGATAGACATGTAAAGAGAGGGATACACAGTGCCTGATAGGTGCAGTACTAGGTGGGATTTGAGCGTCATGGCAGTAGCAAGGAAGGTGTTCCACATATCTGTGGATGTTGAAGTGAGAACGCTAGACAGAAGAGGTAGCACGTGAATGAGGATACACAAGGGCTTTAATTTGCTTGAACCTGACTCACACCTTCTCTTTGAAATCTCCGTTTTATTTCCTCCCTCTTCCCTCAGTATACTTTCTGCTCAGTGATGGACTATGAAGTGGTGGGAATAGATGTTAGTAGCTTTCTTTTTTCTTTTTCCCCACTGCTATGAAGATCCCTCACTACCTTTTGCTAAACAAAGATGACACCACCTGCAGTATCCAGTCTGGATATTGCCTGTAAGTTTTCTTACTGGAATTTATATTAAATCTGTTATAGAATTTTTTGTTATGAGGTCTTTGATTCAGATTTTACTGTCACTTGTTCTTGAATCAAAAACCATTTTTTTAAGTCTATCTATCCTAAACAGTCTATCCTAACAATTGCGAGAATTAAAAATGTTTCCACAGACTTGTCCATATCATTTAGTAATATACAGAGACATGCCATACTTTAAGATAGGTGGAAGAAGGTCAGGACTATCTTATGATAGCTACAAAGCTAGATCTCCTCCAAAAAGACAAATCTATAAATATTAACAAACATTTTGCAATCAATTTTAAGTGTTCCCCAAACTTCCTGATGCTTGCTATTAATCTTAGTTTACCTAATACAATCCTTTAAAAAAAGGAGAGGCAGACTTCATGGAAGTCAACTTTCCCAGGCTTACTAGGGAATGAAGAATGTCCCTGTGGCTACCACATTCTCTCTTCCCCACACCCTTGTCTCTGTCCTTAGGCAGTCTGCTGTCCCTCAGCCTAGCCATCTGCTCTTAGCAGTGAGGGAGCAGCGTGGTAGCCATAAATCCTGGCAGACGTTGCAGTCTGGCAGTGTGAATGACAGCGTGCAGCATGGAGTCTTTGGCAAAGGATAAAGCTGTGGCTACAAATCCAAACACTGTAAACCAAATGATGGAGTAGAATGAAGTGCCTGGCTTTTTCCTTAACCACCAGGTGATATTTTCAGAAGCAGCAATGCATCTTTGTCAGCGACTGTTGGGTACTGATGTGTTGTGATTATCTTGGAAAAGTAAGTGTAGTAGATCTCACTTCTTTTAGCCCTTTCCAGCATTTCTCAGGCCTCCTCCAAGAGAGCTTGAAGCTGAACTTATAGATGTTTTTATACAGCCTTACAAACATATCTGGGATCTTCTGGTATAAGCGTAGGCGGCTTATAATTGATCATCCCCCAAATTTTAATCAACACATCCAATTCTATTTTTTTGAGTCCCAACTATATGTACTCAAAAACAGAAGAAAAAGGTAATTATTTTTAGATCATTCTTTCTTTTGGTTAACTTAGTAACTAGATAAAAGTGAACAGTCTGAAAACATACCAAGCTTTTTCTGTTGAGGCTTTTTCTACCAAGTAAGACTTTATTTAGTGCCATGAGTGGTCAGGCAATGTCGGTGTGAGTATATGGTCCAGGAATCATCAAGTTTATTGGTGAGTGGCAGAACTTGAGCTGAAGAGGAAGGATGGGACCAGACCTTAAGTGAAGTAAATGCTGTATATTTAAAATATATTTAAAATGTATTTGATGACTACCAAGAGTCAACCATGGTATAGAAAGTCACATTTGTTCTTAGTGTGAACTGGTAAGAAGTTTCAATCAATACTTTAAAAGTCCTTTGTTGTTCTGTAAAGGCATATCCCATATTAGTGGCAAATAATAACCAAAATTAGATACTTACAGGCAAGCCTCCTGACTGCTTAAGGTATAGAATAGGCAGATGACACAGGGGGTTATGGACATGCAGCATGTGTTGTGCTCTTTAGACTCCTAGAGAACATTCCCCATCTTAACTTTTCACCAAGCACTCTTTTTGTCCTGCTTGACTCACTATAAGTGTAGTTTTTGTCTGATTATGTGATAAATAGTAAAGCATATGGATGAGAGTTGTTTTCTGTGTATGTAGGTACTAAAGGCTATATGTGCTAGACATTGGAGATATATATATATATATATATATATATATATATATATATATATAGACACACACACATACACACATATACACAAAATTCAAAATATCCAGAGGAAAATTCTAATATATTTTGAACCATGTAAATGGTTGCAAATATCACTGTAGTTTGGCACCTTATAAATAACATTTTTATAATATTTTCTGAATTTTAGTTTTATAATGGAAACTCTAATTATTTGATATGCTAAAGATAACGTCCTGTGCCACCCCCAACAAAATTATATATATATATATATATTCTAAATCCAGGTTGTTTTATACTTGTGTTTTAGATATGATTAATTTTATTAATGTATGGACAATTAAATTTTAATTGTATATTAATTTGGTATTCTTTAGATTTTGTTCCCAGTTTATTGAAAAATTTTCAGACTTTCTAATGATAACGATTGTATAAAGAAAGTTTCTTCACTAAAAAAAGTCATTGCAAGAACCAAATCTTTTAACTTCACTCATATTAACTATCAAAGACATTTTAAATACTGTTCTAGGAGCTTTAAAATTATAGCTTTACTTCAGCCATGGTACTCAGGGCAAATACCAGCCACATGAGTCCTAGGAGTTGGATTCCGGAACTGTTTCCAAATTGATTACTCCCAAACTTCAGTTTCCTGGTCTTGAAAAATGGAAATAATAACATGTGTTGCTTCTTGAGGAATCAGATCAATAAGGTAATGCAATAAACGAAGAATGAAAAATATTAAGGTATTTTCAAACTTAAGCAAATTTACTAATAAAGAATAATAATATTAACATATTATGTACAATATGATAATATCGATATTCATCATATTTATGTATATTTAAATCAAGTGAGTGAGTTAAAGCTTTTTCATCTCTCTTTGGTCTACTTAACTGACAAACAATATTAGTTTATATTTTAAAAGAGTTCCCTAAAGGAGAGTTCATCTAAGTGCCAAATAATAATTATAATTACATGCTTACACCAAGTTCTTAGAGTAACAACATGTTGAAATATGTCACAGCCCCAGATATTAAAATTACGATAGTGTTTTTTTATTATTAATTGCAGGTGCACATTATTTTCATTAAGGAAGCCCAAAGGCAGATACGTTTTCAGTGTTGAGGTGAAAGTGGTTTCACAAATTCCTGAAGGAGATTCACCTGTTGACGACGTGTCAGTGAGCCACAATAATAATACTGCCTTGCATCAAAAACTATATTCTTCTCTGCATTTCTAAAGCACTTTGCACTTGATTCAAGTCTAGCAGTGACCAAAATGTTTCCTGAAAGAATGTTTGTAGTTCTCTCACATGCCCATTATATCAGAAGCACTTTGAGAGCCATCGCATTTGTATAGCCACTGGTATATGATATGCAAGTTATTGACTTACAGATTTGTATTTATGTAACATTCTTAACTTTTTGCAGTATGCATTCATACATAAAATTTCATTTCATCATTTTCAACAACTTTCTAGGTAACTATTTCCTCAGTTAGGTGACTTGCCCAAAAGTTCTCTTCTCTGATGAATTTTGCCCTATGAATCTTTGTTGTCTGAATTTTTGAATTTTAGGTTACTGGAATTTTTAAAACTCGGCCCAAGACTTTATAAGCCCTCTCCAAGAATCTGAACCATTGTTTCTCAATGAAAGTGTGAATTTTTTGAGGACAGGTTACTTCCAAGTTTTACTCATTTTTTTATATTGCCTACTGACTATTGCATAAGACCTAACAAGGGACAGACATTGAATAAATACTTCATGGATGAATGATATGTTATTGTGTATCCCACAAAGCAGTCAAAGAAGGAGTGGTTTAGCTGTGCAGTGACTGAAAGGCATCCCTGCAGAGTGAGGGCAGGTACTTTTCTATCTCAGTGTTCGTTTTCAATGTTGGTACTCAACTTCCACCCTTTTCTGCTCATCACATTAGGGCCAGAATTGCTGAAATGTGAAATGAAATCTATGGCAATTTATTACTGTTTATGAGAGACTCTGTGACATGCCTGAGCCAACTTGCCTTCTACTATCCTGTGTAAGAGATCTGAAAGGATCGGTAGATAGATTAATTTAAGGCTGCTTTTGCTGACACTGGTCACCTCTAAATGGATAATCGTTTATCAGTAAATTGCTTTTTGTGAGCTGGGTAATTTCTGATCAACATGTTCATTCTCCTCCTCTTTCTCCATTACCCTTTTTTCTCTCCCTTCACCCGCTTTTCTTTGGTTTGTTCTTTCTTTTTTCTCTTTTTCTTTCTCGCAGACTCACACACATACATACTCACTTGCTGCCTTTTGTTCTCTTTCTGTCATTTGTACCAACATACATATATACACACACACATGCACACACACCTCAATATACATGCCTTCCAAAGTAAGCATTAGTTGAGACATCTATATATTAATAAAAAGTTCATTTTTATTTTCTGAGCCACAGTCAAAATGTAAATGGCCTCAAGAAAAAGAAGACATAGTGCTATTGCAGTAATCTAAACTAGGTTAGAATTTTATTAGCACTGCAGCATTTTGCAGACCATGAAAAACTGTTGAAACTCGATCTTGGATGTCATCATCAAACAGTATACTTTATAAGTGCCTTTCTGCCCACATAAGGATGAACAAGTCTGTTAAGCTTACACCCCTTGTACACTCCGAGAGTTTGTCTGCTAAATGCAGGGTATGGTATAGTGAAGACAGGTTTGATTTACTTACAGAGAGCTCTGGGAAGGAAAAGATAGGAAAGAATCTCAGAGCTTTTGCAAGTCTGAAATGAAATGCTAACTATTCTTTTAGAAAGGCAGGAGAAAGAGAAGAGATGAAAATTTAGCTGGAATGGTATATTATAGAATGTAAGTGAAATTATAACTTTGGAATTTTGTTAACCTATGGATGGCAGAAACGAATGCCAGAGTGTAATTGAGTTTTCTCTCAACTTCAATTTGTTGTGATACAACTCATCTCTCAGACTTTTTCAATAGATAGGAATGACACCTCCAGGACAAAACAATCTTATCCCTGTACTAGGCCATCATAGACATCATATCTTCCATTGTCAATGACTAATTGCCATTTGTCTTGTTCTCTCCTCTCTTTTTTATTTTGTATATTGAGAAAGTAAAACTCTCCCCTGAACTAAACTTGTTGATTAAAACAGTCTTATCTGTTTCTGAGCTTTAGGAGAAACGGGGTGCTAATTTCATTCACCAGGGTCAGGCTCTATAGGCTTAGACAGCTGTCTTGGAAATGTAGCAGTTTTGCTGCAGAGAGGGCCCTGATGCAGTTGCTTGAATGGCTGAGATTCGGAAGTGCCCATCTGAACAAGGAGCAGAAAAGAGCTGTTAGTAGCTTTCATTTTATCACCTTGAACACTTGAAATACATTTGCATGTGGGATATGAGTATGTATCTGTTAAAGGCCTACTTAGGCCCCAACATTTTACTGGTCATTTAGGTTACCAGTGAGAGGGGAAAAAAAATAGCTCCAGCACTGTAGAAGATTCTTGTTCCTCAGTATGTGTGTGCTGCTCTGTTTTATTAATGAATGCAGCATACGCTGCTGCTAAACTGCAGATTCCTTGTAGGAAAGGTCTATGCACAACCTTTGAATCTAACTCAATACCTTACACCCCCAATACGTGTGTTCCCTAGGAAAGACTATGTGATTTAATAACTAAAAGCAGGCTATATGCTAAGTAGATGTTGTCCTCACTTTTTAATTTGTGAGAACCACAAAGAACAGAGTGATACACACACTCTGAGAACTGGGTTATCATTGCAGATAGACTGTCGCAGTGGGAGTCAAATCCCAAGTGAAAGCATCACTGTAGAGGCCTTCTTTGGGAGACAAATGGAGCTTTTGTTGATGTTCCCTACACAAGCACACATGCTTCAAGGCAACTGGCAATCACTCAATGTGGTCAGTGTTCATTTTACATCCTCAGCTACCCCCTTTTCCTCCACTGTAGACATCTGTGCTGAGTATATTCCTTAACACTCTCCCCATAGGCCTGCCTATTCTCTCTTTTTTCACCATCAATATCCTTTCTAATACCCACTGTCAGAGCCACTAAAAACTGCGAGGTTTGTTTCTTGACAAATGTCCCATTTTCACAGGCAGTTGAACCGAACTGCAGCTTGTGCTCCGTTCAAACATGTCAATAAACATTATTGCAAAGACGTAGAAGCAATAATGGGAATGTATAAAACTCACCTTTATTGCTTCTTGCCATGAATTTACACGCTGCTCTAAGCAGCTTTCACTCCCTCAAGAAGAAGCTGCAGGAAATCTGTTTTGGATTGTGGGGGCATGCAGTCTTCTCTGGATCCTAGAAGCAGAAGATGGCAATGCCTGTCAACTTCTTGAATATATGCCCATTCTTTCATGCCATAATGGTCTTTTATAAATAATGCTAGTTGTCACTGGTAAGAAGAGGATGTTGCAGAATGGAACATTGAATGTCACAGAGCAGCAGCACTCACAACAAAAGATCCAAAGCATGGTGATATTCTAAACCTAGGTTTCCATGTCTGTAAATCTGCTGTACTGAAGGTAACGTTGTATGGACTGAATGTAAAACAGACTGTTTATGGTGGTGAGAGAGAGACTGCACTGTAATGTATTCCAGTCTCAAAATGAAGGCCTGTAGCTCTTTGGGGTCTTCAGATGATATATGTCTGAGATAGATATTAGAATGCAAAGTGATTCTTTGTGGATAGTGTCAAGATGAGGATTTTTATATCCATGAGGGTGGGACAAGTCAGAGATTCGTGTGTCCTGAGGTGAAAGGCTCCAGAAGCGTTCATGAGTAGGTTTATGACCCTATAGCAATAGGTTCTACAGACAAGAAACATTCCCTGCAAATAGACCAGCCTGCATTTGTACAGATTTAATTCTGCAGGTGATTAAGTTGAGCCAAAGAAGCATTCTGAGAAGCAGTGTCAGAGTCTCCCCTAATCCTTCCTAATCCTGTGTGTGTGTGTTCCATTATATTATGCTGTATTGTTTAGATGTCCTTCACTGCAGGGACTTTCAGATATTTTAGGGCTAAGACCTATTCTATGATTGCCACTTCTGTTTTAGTTTCTCTTTTCTACTTTTCCAGAGCCAATAAGAGCATTTTGAATCATATCAATTTCATGTATCAGCTCCTATTATATCAAATAATTTTTGGAACATTGCAATGAAAAGGAATCAAAAGACATATGATTTGTATACCATGAATGGCCACAGTTGAGATAATTACTTTGAGGTGGAAAGTAATACAGATGTTAAAAAACATTTAAAGAAGAAAAGCATTATCAGAATAATCTGTGTATCCTTTCTGATAACAGGACAGTACCAATCAGGTAAAAAGAATGATAGAAGAAAAAAATGTATATTAACTTTATTGATAATTTTGATTCTGAATGACATACTTTCCAATGACATTTCAACATTCATTCAATCAGCCAATATTTATTGAGCCTATTATGTGCCAAACACTCTGTTAGATACTAGGCTGTTTTAGGAAATTAGTTAGAATGGGGAATACCCTTTTCTGTCCCTCACTCTAAGTCATTAATTAGTTATTTTTAATCACAGTGAACAAACATTCAGAAATGAGAAGCAGAATTCAATCACAAGGGTATTTTTAACAAAGTGCCTTTTATTCTCTCTTCAAGATAAGATTAAATAATAATCTGATTATTCCTGCACTGGTTTATCAACTTTCTGACTATAGAGTTTCTTTAGTTTCAAAAGTTCAAGCAATATAGAACCTTTACCCAAATCCCAAGGAAAATGGACCAAAAAAGGTCTGTCTGTATCAAATTCTATAAACACAAACTTCCTGGCTGCTCCAATAGGCACGGTGGCTCAAATCCTACTTTTCCAAACTAGATTATTTTTAATATCACAGGCAATGTATATTTTCTTTGAGTCATTTGAAGCATGAATGGGAGGACTGCAAAATAACAGGCTGACACAGAGGTCCATTAAGACAGACATCATCTTTCCTTTATCCCAAGAAGGGGACAGGCATTGACCTGACAACAGCTATTAGTGCTGTGCTATGATGGAGAACTGCTAAGGGAGTACTGAGCAGATAGAAAATATTGCAATATACAGGGAAATCAGGTAAATGGCCTTTAAGTAGAACCGAAAAGCATGAGTAGGAGGTAGTCAATAGAAGGAGAAGCTTTGGGCAGATATTCCAGAAAGAAATGCCCAGAGAAAAGAAAGCATGGTATATTTGAGAAACTATATGAAAATCAACATGGCCAGAGCAGACAGGTGTAGGGCTCAAGTATGAGGGAGGTATGAGAAAACTGTAATTCTGAGAAGATAGCTGGGTCCAGATCATGGGAAGTCTAATCAGAAAAACATTTTAAAGAATATTGATTTTATGTTTTAGAGGTGGAAGTCATGAAAGAATTTAAGCAGAATACTGTCTTAATACAAAAGGCATGTATGTAAATACATGATATACATTTCACTTTTTCATAGCAGGTGCTCAGATTATTTCCTTCAATTAAGTACTTTCAGAGTACTTTTACTTCTTCACTCATTTTCTTTCAGCCACATCAACATCTGTCCCCTCCCAAATATTCTCAACAGCCAAAGTTACACTATGCAATTTTGACTCTTGCAAGTCAGTACAGAAGAGAAGACAGGTCCTGGGGTTTCCTGATACTCTGACCTCAAATTTTGTGCCAGACAGCCCAATAGTCAGGCAATTATTGTCATTATTATTTGCTCTGGTGCTGGCTAGACAGATACTTGCTAAGATAGAGCTGGGATGGATGGTATTAGAAATAAAGTCAGAGTAGGAGCAGGACTCTGCCTGGTCTTAGAATAAGAGATTAGTTATGACATGGTTTTGGGAAATCACAAGGATGAGGTAGAGAATAATAGTATTTTAGTATGCATGCTTGTATGTTTGGCAGTGTCCCCACCAAAATATCACCTTGAATTGTAATAATCTCCACATGCCAAGGGCAGGACCAGATGGAGATAACTGAATCATGGGGGAAGTTCCCCAAATTGTTCTCATTGTAGTGAATAAGTCTCATGAGATCTGACCATTTTATAACTGGGAGTTCCCCTGCACAAGCTCTCTTACCTGCTGCCATGTAAAACATGCCTTTGCTTCCTCTTTGCTTTCTTCCATGATTCTGAAGCTTCCCCAGCCAGGTAGAATTGTGAGTCCATTAAACCTCTTTCCTTTATAAGTTGCCCAGTCTCAGATGTGTCTTTGTTAGCAGTGTGAGAACAGACTAATACAATAACATTTCTTAAAGTAAATGTTCTAGAAACTCAGTATCATGCCTCATGGTTTGTAGTTTGTTGTTAGTACTATCATGAAGCAAACTCAATAGTAATTCATGTTATGTAAGTTCTTAGAGATGTCAAGGAGGAACTTAAGAATACTAACCTGAAGCTCTGTCTCATAAATGATGGTTTTGTCAGCCATAAGGGCTAAGTAGTGTAGAGGATAAAAGAAGAAAAGTGTGATCAAGTGTCTGGTGTTCTAGGCTGCAATCTTCTGACCTCCTCACGATCAATTTCTGTAGTCACTGTGGCACTTCTGAAATTTGTGACATCTGAAATTTGTCCATATGACTGTTGCCCTGCCAGATAATGTTTAAATTGCAGTTGGTCTGATTCATGGTAGCTTATGTATCTAATCACAGCACATAAAATAAATTGTAGTACACTGATCCAATAATTTTGCATGGCATTAGGACAGCCTTGATTAGTTTGGATCAATTGAATGTTAAGATTTCACAAACAATGTTCCCACTTGGGTATCTATTTGTAAATTTGGCATTTCATTTTTATTCTAGAATTTCCCTAGGTTCTTCAGAGAGTTTCTCTGCCAAAGACCTATACAGCCTCTAGCTCTAATGTTCTGTCAATATTGACAGATGAAGCAGAGGGGACATAGACTGTCACTGAATACAAAAATAATACCTTCTCCAGCTACAATCTTGAATGAAACATAATTTTTGAGGCATATGAACAGAGTACATTGTATATGGAAAGAGAGAAAAAGACAATGAGAAAAGAAGGGAGAACAGGAAAGAAAGGGGTTGCCTTGGGAGAATTATAGAAGATGCTTCCTCTAGTGGCTGTAGGAGTGAGCTTGTTGTTACCTTAGAAAGTTCTTCCTTAGGTTATCACATATAACTTTATTCATCAAAAGTAGTTTCAGCTTTTCTGTGAGTATACTAAGGATAATCATTTTATCATGAGCATTTCTTATGTTATCAGGAATTTAAGGGAAAGAGTGACCTCTGTCCTGACAGCATTTGGCCTCAAAAGGGCAAATGAACATTTGAAACTGTAATATGCCCAAGTAATGGGAAACAATTTTACTTTTCCAACTATTATTTTGCTTGTGCTCAGTTTTAGTTTTAGGCTTCCTAGTAGGAAGTTTGAGTGGAGAATTTGAAAGCAGCTGTATCTTTTGCCTGTGGCATTAATAGCTTTCATTCAATAAATAGATCACATTGGAATAACCACAACCCAGAGCTTCTTGTGCTCACGAAAGTGATATAAGTTCTGGGAATGGATGTTCTGGCTGCAGGTGATGAAGAGTAGTCCAGGCTTTCATTTTTTATTTTATTTTATTTTATTTTATTGTATGTTTTTGAGATGGAGTCTTGTTCTGTCACCCATGCTGGAGTGCAGTGGTGCAATCTTGGCTCACTGCAACCTCCGCCTTCTGGGTTCAAACAATTCTCCTGCCTCAGCCTCCTGAGTATCTGGTATTACAAGTGCATGCAACTACGCCCAACTAATTTTTTTGTATTTTTAGTAGAGACAAGATTTCACCATGTTGGCCAGGCTGGTCTTGAACTCCTGACTTCAGGTGATCCACCTGCCTCAGCCTCCCAAAGTGCTAAGACTACAGGTATGAGCCATTGCGCCTGGCCCAGTCCAGGTTTTCAGACACAGTACTTGAGAGCATGGACTGAAAAGTAAATGGATAAGCCTGCCTGGATGAAATAAAAACCAGCATTTTCTTATATTGTTATCCAACCAGGAAATACAGAGTGTGATAGTATCAATGAGGATGACTGTCAGCATTTGGATCACCTCCAGTCTCAGGTCAGGGCTGGAATTTGGTTTGAAGAGGGAGACCTGCCATTTCTGGGTGATGAGAAGGAAGGTACTATCAAAACCAAGGCAGACTTTTAATAAAAGGTGGTAGGGTTAGTGCAGAACTAGAGTTTACACTTCAACTTCTGCCTCCTCATTCAGTGCACTTCCAGTTTTTCAGGCTGTGCTTGGATATTGGGCTGCAGGGTGCCAGTGGAGGATGTTGGCGCTCACTGTAGTAGC